GTTGGAGTACCTGTCCCTTGATGGAAGTTATGTAAATTCATGATTAATGAAAGGTTATCTTAGGACATAAAGTTGCTTCCCTTATATTTAAATTGTAAAAAAATGCCTATAAAAACTGCAAAACACAAAATGTGAAACTGCAACTTTGCATGTATCTCCGCATGGACCCAACAACCCTTCATGCCAAATTTGGTGAAGATCTGTCAACAGGGGGCAAAGTAGTGGTAAAAAACAGTAAAATGCAAAACTGAAAATTTAAGGAAGTGGCCAGTCAGTATATTTCCAAAAAGTGTACTCTGACAAAGCAGTTGATCTGTAAATCTTAAAAAAAAACACCCTTTACTACAAAAAAGGACTCGCCTCTCAACAGTGTTTGGTCATGAAGGTGTAGAGTTCAGGGGGTTGGCTGGACTGTGTACTTATTGCACAAAATAGTTAGTGTTCATGTTTAAGCACCTTAAAGTGGCAAGAAAACCTCATTGCACCTTTATCGATCATCTCTCTCCCTCCTCTCTCTCTCTTCTTTTTTTTTATTATTATTATTATACAGAACTTTTAAAAACTGTGGAGAAAATGACTATATACAGCTGAGAAAACAGATCTTGCTGTATTTGTTGTGAGATTTTTATAGAGGTGTGGGATTTTAATCCTTCATAACCTGGAAACTAGTAAAAATTCAGCTACACTGGTGGGCAATTCATATTCCAGATATTACAAAGAGTTTAAATCTCTATTCAGAATTAAAAAACAAAAGAGAGAGAAAGTACTGGAAAGCTTTGTTTGGGAATCAACCCACCAAACATGTCTCCTTGACTTGCAGACTGGGTATTAAATATATAAAACCTCCTTATATTGCATAAACTTGTCACTAGGGTTTATTTAACTATGTCATTCAGAAATTGCTTTCTAATTGTACTGTGGCAATCAGTCTTGTTATCTTGCATCATATTAAAAAAAGAACACCACATGACCATGTGTACCAACAAGATTTACAGTTATTAAAGAATAATCATACAACAGATACCTTTTTGAAATAATTTTAATATAGTGAATCCAATCCTTAATTTATTGCCTTGAGTTTTATATGTGAAGTATATAATACTATAGTAAGACTTATTTGGTATATTAATACTTTATTTTTCTTCAGCTAAAAAATATGATAATGTTCACATGTTTTAAGATATATATTTAATGTACTAAAATATCTCTAAAGTATTTGTACCCCGTCACACCAAATGTGCTCGCCCTATCAGCCGTGGGGGCCTTATAATGTGATGGTCAATCCCACTTTTCATTGGTAAAAGAGTAGCTCAAGAGTTGGTGGTGGATGGTGATGACTAGCTGCCTTCCCTCTAGTCTTACACTGCTAAATTAGGGATGGCTAGAACAGATAGCCCTCATGTAGCTTTGTGTGAAATTCAAAAACCAACAAATATTAGTAATAAATGTAAAAAAATATTACTATATAGAAATGTAATATATAGAACATTTTGCAATTAGTTTTTAAAATATGAATACTACTTTTAAAAAAATTCATTAGTTGTTTTTCATAACAACTTTAGTTTTATTTTTCAAATATGAGGTGTTGGTTGAAATTAAGGTCATAAATCACAGTATAATACTTTTTCTTTGAAAGTTTTAGTGTTTTCACAACAATTTTATGATTTTCCTTTATTTCTTTGCTACATGTATGTGTATCTGCTGTGTTCTCCAATTACCCTGTGAAAGATATATTTCAGTTTGTTCAGACACTGGTAAGACTCATGAAATTAAGTTATTTCTTAACTATTCTTCTTTCTTTAAAACTATTTAAAAGAATTGTGACACAGGGTTTTATTTTGGGGACAGTAGTGGTACTTTCAAACTGCTAATGAAATTCTTCTTGAGGCTGTTAAGAGGTTAAACAAAATCAATATTAAGATAAGAAACCATCTGTACTTTGGCATTATGAATACTTGTTGTAAATTCCTCCTTTAATTAGATTATAGTTTCAAGAAAAAAGGACTTTATGATTAATATGAATACCGGTGGTAGTTATTTATGAGGCACAGAAGAAAGATGAAAAATAAAGTAACTATAATGCTATTTCTTTCACCGTGGCTCTCAGTTTATTATGACTAATCACCTTGATTTTACCTACAAGTTCAGTGTGATTGGCAGACACTGTTATGTTGTTTCTACTTAATTAATGTTATAAGACAATTATTATTTTCCCAAGAAAATAGAGTAAAAGTAGATTATCCATTTGAATACTGACAGGAAGAATTAAGAAGGATGGTATATCTTCTGAACACATTTGGGCTATCAGGTTTTTTTATTTTAGATCCTTCATAGTTTCTTAGTATCATGACAAGATATTTTGGGCATATTTTCATATTAAAAAGATTTTACTAGGAAGGGAAACATTTTGTTTTCTGCATTATATACCACACACACACATCTGTATGTAAATTCAGTTTGATGAATAATCTTTCTGAAAAAAATTGTCTTTTTTTAGTGTGTTTGATATTATTTTTCAAGAGTGGGTAAAAACTTGTTTTTTTAGTATAAGACAAAGATTCTTGTTAAAAAGTTTTAAATCTAGGCCATTTAAAGCTTATATGCTGATACTATGCAGATAATAGATATCTTTATTTCTGCCCCCTTTGTGACTCAGCAGTAAGTCTGAGAGCTTATAACACTAAAAATTGGGTTTTGATACCAGCAGCTGACACAGCACAAATAGCCATTGTGCAGTTTTGCACTTAACGGAAATATCTTTTTTCACTCAGTATCAGTGCTTATGCTAATATTAATTCTAAAACTATGTGAAAATAGCAAGACACAAAATATTTAACAGCTTTATTACATAATTTATAAATCCTGTGATTTTTTTTTTTACTGTTTTCAAAATGTTATTAGGTTTACTTAATTGTATCCTATTATTCAGCTTTTTATAAGACAGATTAGGCTTGGACAATATAACGAATGGTGAGGTTTTTACTGAAAATATGTCTAACGAGGATAATTCCAATCACATAGTCAAGAAAGTAATGTTATATTTGTAAGGTTACTTTTGTTGGTTTGTAGGCCTACCATTTGATGCAAGAAGATGGTGCTAGCTGGTATTGTTTTTGTAGAGTTATATTTTGTTGCTGTTACTTGAAGAGTTGAATTGTTTACCCTTGCCCCCAGAGGGGAGGGGTAAGGGTATTGCAGTCAGGTTCATGTGTGTCTGTCTGTTTCCACATACGTATCTCAAAAATTAATACACCAATGTACACGAAAATTTTACACAGTATGGGAAATCGGCATTGGAAAGTCCTACCCAAATTTAGTCCAGATCCAGATTCTGGATCACTTTGAAGCATTTGTTATAATAGGGAGATACAATAACTTTGTAAAGTGTGATCGGATTTGTTACAGTTAATATTTTGACTAATACTACCTATATGTAATTACAGGTGAAAAAGAGGAAAAAATTGAGAAACTACAATCCCAGGAAATGCAAGAAAAAGCTCTATTCTCTTCTCAGGAATTTATACTTTCGAGACCATCATCTTGTGTTCAAGATATGCAAGGCAGTGGAGATCAAGTTGATTCTTGTTGTGTGTTACCAGTGGAGGAAAGATCAAGTGAGATAATATCCAATACCCAGCTTCCCATCAAGTGTATGACTAAGTCTTTAACAGAAGGTGAAAGTCCAGAAAAGCAAAATATTAAAATTTTAGAGATAGAAGATGAGAAACAGATTTTGACTACTTCTCATGACACATTAGTTTTGAACAAGCTGAGGAGAGAAGCAAGTGTGAAGAGGTTGATATCTGGATGGAACAAGGCATCTGTGGAATCTGAAGGCAGCAGTAGTGGAGGCCAAGATCAGAAAAATGGGGATTGTGAAGAACAAGAAGTGTTTCATTCCTCTGAAAAGAAACATCAGACTTTAGGAAATGGTCTTTCTTGTAGGAAGGATGGGATTCTCAATGAAAACAGCTCCTCAAGAGTATCAAAAAAGAGACCATTGATCAAAGTAAGAAGTTTCTCTGCAAGTGAAGTTGAAGGTGATCATTCATCTAGTCCTCCTCCTGATTCCTTAGGAGGCCCAACTAGAAGAACTGTTGAAGAAAATTCTTATTTTTCTCCAAACTTATTGTCAAGGTCTTCATTTGAAACAGAACGTCTAAAGAAACCTCATAATTCTGAACGATTAGTTGGTAAAGCTACTGTGATTCGTAGACCAAGTATTGCCCATTTAAAAGCTTTATTTGAAAAATCAGTAGCCTCTGAAAATGATGCCTCTCAAGATCATCTCTCTCGTCGCCAGCGTCCTCTTTCAAGAAGCCATAGTCATCATATACCACAAGGAAGAATGGAGGAAAATAGTGAAGGTCACATTGGATCAAATATTTTGGGAGAACAAGAAAGAACAGACAATGCCCTGGGAATTGTAAGTAGATGTTACCGCGAACCTGTATTTTCAGTTCATGATCAGGACACGTGTGACACCAGAGATAGAAGAAGCATTTGGTACAATAGTTCTAGCTTTTCAAACCAGGAAAACTCCAAAGACACAGTTAATCAATCACAGAAAGTTGGGCAGACCACAAATTTAACTGATTTTGCTGTTGATGAGCCTCAAGAACTAAACAACAATCCTCTTCCTTCTCGACAGACAAAGTGGTATACACAGGAGAATGCAACACCTGACATTAAGAATGAAGAAAACAAAAATCTAAGTTTCAAAAAATTTACTTCTAAAATTCAAATTAAAGAACCACAAAGTGATCAGTCTGTTTTAGATAAACTAAATTGCTTTCATCCAAAATGTCAGAGGTTACTTAGTTGGGATGAAGGAGGGTATCAAGATTGTTATGCAGCAAAATCCAGATGGTATGATAATTTGTCTCCAGTCTCTGGAACCTTGTCAGAACAGTGGCACAAACAAAGCCAAGTTCATGAATCAAGTAATGTAGTTTCTCAGAATTTTTTAAGTGAATTAAATCATCCTGTAGATGCTGTTGTTAAAGACCAAAACCCTCCTGAGTTACCAGTGAAGAGAAAAATTGCAATGAAAACCAAAACTTTACCTGTTTCAGAATGTCATTATGGCATCTTGTATGACAATGTAAAAAAGAAAACTTCACCAATTTCATCTGTGTCTCAGTCTTTTGGGGTAACAAGTATTTCAAACACAAAGAACTCTTCTCACATCCCAGCATTAACAGACAAGTGTGAATACTCACAATCACCAGTTTTTGAAAACAGTCATGAAAGACCCCCTGAACTTCCAGAGAAAAAAGTAATTGGGAAACAGAAACATGTTAAAAATCATCTTGAAGTAAAAAGTGTCACAACTCCTCCTTCTGATTTTGTTTTATTAAGAAAAACTAAGCCGGTTTCAGAAACTGTGAAATCAGAACCTAAAGAACCAGATGTGTGCATAAAAAATGCATACACAACTCAAATACAACCTGTATTTTTAAAAACTGGACAGCAGCAACCTTTAGCCAAAAGCAACAAAACAAAAAATGTTAATTTATATTCTAATGTTAATCTTGCAGCAAAGAAAAATATTGAAACGATTGAAAATACTCTTGAACAACATCATCGAGGAGCTATAATTGACTTAATGTCGAAATCATCTTGCCAGCTTGAACGTCAGCACAATGACCAAAAGCAAAAGAAGATAGATGTGTTCACACAGAAGGACGCTGCAAATGTATCCTTACCCAACAGAAAAATTACTGAAGATGCTAACATATTACCAAGACAACCACAGCAGCAAAATAAGAATTCCCATAACCATAATCTAGGGAAGATGAAGTATGAGCCAATTTGGATTGATGGCTCAAACCAAGTCACTTCCTCTGCTGATCAAACCAAACTACACACTTATCAAAATACAGTGACTGTGGAAGGTGCTCTAGACAAGAGTAATATTCAATACAAAAAAGAAACTTTTCTGAAGAAAGAAGATGTTAGGATAAAAGTAAAGGATAGTCAAGGTGAAGCACGTAACCTTTTGTTGCATAGTCCAGCTCCAAAGTCTAAAAAGTCCCATGATTTAACCTGCAAACCAACAGCATCTACAACAAAAAATTGTTCTGTCAACAAGAAGGAAGATGTGGTTACCTCTGACAAAGAACAAACTCAAACCAGTCATTCATCTAGTACCGATGTTTCAGAACTTAATTCCTTATTAGATGAACTCACATCTCATGCTTCAAAGGACTTTAAAAGGGAATCGACTCCACCATTTTGTGAAATTAGTCTACCTTCTGCTTCACCAGCACAGAAACAGAGCTTTGGTCTTTCATACTCGCAAGCTTATCAAGAGAGGCAGAAACAGCCAACCAGTCCTTCAAAGCCTCATCCTGTGAGCCTGTACGAAGGAGTTACGACAGAAATTATCTCAGAACCTCAAGGAAAAGGAACCATACACCATAACCAAGCTCACCTCAGCAATAAAACAAAAGATGAGAACCAAAAGAATCAGTGTAAAACTAAAGCCCAGCGTGGTACAGAAAGTGATTCAAGTACTAAAAGGAAGAAAGATCCAGACTATGAATGCATATATCCTCTTCAGCACTCCTTCTCATCACCACAGTTTCCTAACATTCATCACCTACATGCAGATAACTATAAAACTTATGAGCCTCGCATAAAACCTCAGCTCCACACAAGTATTCTCAGTAAGAAATGTTTAGATTCTAATGAAACTTCTAATCCTAAGTGCTCTTCAAACAAAACCTCTTCTAAAATTACACCAAGCTGTAATACTGGACCTCCTAAACCACCAAGAACTTACAATCATTCCTCACTAAATCAGTCTTCCAGTTCTCCATACAAGCTGGATGGAGGAAGGCTGCTGGTGTCTGTTGGATCACCAAAAAATCCAGCTTTACACAAGAAGGAAATGTGGAAATTGCCAGTCAAGGAGAAGTTAGCACACCACCTGAAGGGGAAAAAGGCATTATTATCTGTGTCAGATAATTTTTCATCAGGAGGAATTACACATCATGTAGATAGCAAGAGAATAAGACCATTCAATGAAAATGCACTAAATTCAGCCATCCCTGCCTATGGTAAAGAACTCACCATGCCTGTATACAGTAGGGGACCACTAAATCTTTATGCATGTCCTACCACAAGGTCCAGTGGAGCTTTAGTTCCTGATTATGAAAATGTTTATAATTCAACCAACAGTTCCCAAATTGCTAAGTCAGGAGATCATGCTTCTAAAAGCTCAACTCCTTCTATGCATGCTCTTCGGCATTCGATCTCTGATGCTAGTGTATATGTGACTCTTCGTGGTACTAAGCCTTGTCCTCAGGGGCTTTCAGTAAGCAGAACTCAAGGGCCTCCAATCTATAGTCAAGTTGTAAAACTAAAAAAAAATGAATCTCAAGAAAAGGCTGTGCCCAATGTTACTCAAGCTTCTCCATCAGAGGGCATTCATCGAAGGTCACAGGATGATATGGACTTGCAACCAGTGGCACCACCAAGAAATAGGAAACAACTTCCGGCTAGGAGAAGTATGGTGGAGGTAGAAAGTAGTGGAATAGGATGGAGTGTGAAAGGTAAGCCTAAAGTAAATAAATGTTCGAAATTTAATTTGCATATAACAAGCAAAAGAATATACTGAATAACATAAACAAAGGTATATTTAGCTCATTATGATATGGGTTTTGTAACCGAGTAAGGACCCATGTATGTTGTATAAATAAATATCAGTAGTCACATGAAATAAAATTAATAATCTTAATACACCTAGAGCTATAGAAAATGATGTGATTAGTAATAAGAACATAAGAAATGGTACATGTTTTTAGGACTTAATTATTGAAAGTTTATAAATTTTCCTTATAGATGACTCTCCACCTACCAGTAATGCAAACGATCAAGAGGTAAGAACATATTTCTTCATTAAAATTGCAGTAAAAGCACAATGGGATAAGTACCCTGTCACTAGAGCTTTATTATCAGTAAAGAAAGTTGCTTATCCCTGAACTCAAGCTTTATTATCAGTAAGGAAAGTTGCTTATCCCTGAACTCAAGCTTTATTATCAGTAAGGAAAGTTGCTTATCCCTAAACTCAAGCTTTATTATCAGTAAGGAAAGTTGCTTATCTCTAAACTCAAGCTTTATTATCAGTAAGGAAAGTTGCTTATCTCTAAACTCAAGCTTTATTATCAGTAAGGAAAGTTGCTTATCCCTAAACTCAAATATTATTATTGGTAATGAAAGTTGTTTATCCCTAAACTCAAACATTATTATCGGTAATGAAAGTTGTTTATCCCTAAACTCAAGGTTTATTATCGGTAATGAAAGTTGTTTATCCCTAAACTCAAGGTTTATTATCAGTAAGGAAAGTTGTTTATCCCTAAACTCAAAGTTTATTATCACTGAGGAAAGTTGTTTATCCCTAAACTGAAGATTTATTATCACTGAGGAAAGTTGTTTATCCCTAAACTGAAGGTTTATTATCACTGAGGAAAGTTGTTTATCAGTTAACCAGTACTGTGCCAAAGTACACAATATTTTGATAAGTTCTTGATCCATATTGAATGCTCTAATGTCATTAAAATACTACAGCACTTCTGGTGCAGAAACAATACATAAAAATAATGTTATGACAACTGTCATATTTCATTCTCAAATATTTATGTGATTTGGACAATGTATTTATATGTTTTTATAAACTGCCATAAATACATTCAAACTGACTATTATTGTATTAATGTAATTACTTTCCAGTCTTGTTCGTGTAAAACAACTCATTCTGTGTTGTTCATTCATTGGCTTTCTTTGTTATTCAAAAGGGTATTCTAGAATAGTATTTTATGAGATTTATCTGACTTACTTGATGCTAATCTTTATTTTACATTCCTCAAAATACTATTTTAGAATGGTAACTGATATGTTTGAAATGTTTTATTTTTTCAGGATAGTAATGGTTTCCACAAAGACAGTGTTGATTGTGTAGCCTCGCAGTCTTATCATTTAAAAGAAGGAAGTTCTCAAGGTATTGCTTTATAATTTCAATACCTATCTAAGCAGTTTCATTAGTTTCTTATCTTCATAGTTTAAGGTTATTCTAGTATTATAAAAAAAAATTTAAGAAAAAGTTCCATTTAATGACCTTTAACAAGAATATTGTACAGTAGTTCTTAATTTCAAAAGTAAATATTAAAACAAATTCATAATTATTGATGTTTGTGTGTCACGTGGTATGTTGAATGCAGCTTTGGTTCACATTAGATGTATTGGACATCTAAATACAAAGTATATAGTTTCTTAAGAATTAGAAACTCAGATTACTGATATTGCCAAGCTAGAATATGAAATATGAATCTCCTTTCTTTTCTATTTGCTGAGATATCACTATATTTAGTAAATCAAACACAGTGGCCCCACCAACCTTTTCCATATTTGGAAGTACTTCCTTACATACAAAAGCTTCACTCTATCATGGCTTTATAACCAACCAAAAGCTCAGAATTTCCCCGTACATGGCTTTTTTTTTGTCTCAAATCTCAGAAGGAAAGGGTAAGTAAAAATGTTGTTCAAAAAAAATATTTTTAGACCCAAATACAGTTTAGTTAGTAACCCTGATAAAATCTGCTACATTGATAAAGTAATTTATAATTTTTTTGTTATTTCAAAATGCCTATAAAAAATTATTTTGTTTTATATCTTCCATGTGCAAAATTTGGGAATGCTTAGCATGCAAGGTACACCTTGCCAGAAATGGCAAGCAAGTAGAAAAGTCATTACAATTGTAAGTAGTAGAGATCATTGTTTTGTATATTTTTTATTTACTGTTCCAATTTTTAAGAAAAATACCTGAATTTGAACAACTTATTTGTAAATAGTAATAATATATATATATATATATATAT